TGTGTGTGTGTGTGTGTGTGTGTGTGTGTGTGTGTGTGTGTGTGTGTGCCAGTGTGTGTCAGTGTGTGCGTGTGTGTGTTCATCACTTTTATTCACACGTGAGTAAAGGGTTATTTGTCAATAAATGCATAATGAACACTGTATGATAAATTGTTCATAACACAGCCATCACTTCACATTGCTGCTCATATAAACATGTCAGAGGCTCCAAAAGCAATATAGTCAACATCACAGCAATAACTCTGTCCTGGGCAAAGGTCTTATCCACATGCAAATGCTCATGAGTGTTGAGATACAAACACTTCATAGTGCTTCACTTGATATGAACAAACAATAACAGGTTCTCATGTCTTAAGATGTTATTGAAGTCATGTTTCTCCTGCTAAAGTCTCTGACTCTTTCATATTTTCTGTAAATATATAATAACAATATTCAGCTGCAGTAATATATTGCCATTTGCACTTCACAGTGCTCTCTGTGGTATATTGTTGACTTTAACCATGCCAGGATGTGCCAGATGATTTCCAATGGCTTGTACATATACTGTTGTTGGCAGAGCACTTTCTTCGTAGAGTTATTAAAGCCACAGCTACCACAGGCTACCACTTGGCAATGTTCCTCTTTAACACAATTCATCTACTTTAACAAATACTGTCTATAAGGTCTGCAACTAACTAATGAAACAGGAAGAGTGTTGACTGTTTATTTCAGCATGTATTGAGGGGCCTACTATTTTTAATTTGACATTCCCAAAACCATGATCAGAGCTTGCATTTTCAGCAGTCCTGTATACAAAACAAAATGTCAAATACCATTAGATTGGCAGTGCCAGAGTGTAATAGACCACAAAGTCATCAAATAACACTGTCCTCATGAGTTCCCATTGATTGTCGGTATCAGAAAGCTGGCATCGCTAACACTACCAGCGGGCGGATGTCAGGCTGGCCCACCGACCTCATGCTTGCAGCTCATCTTTCTCTCGCGGGGAGTAGAACGAGAACAAATCATAACTCTCATAAGAGCATATTAATCCCATGGTCTGAGCGCATGCAGCCTGTGAGGGCTTACCTCTGTCAACAGAGATTTGTGTGCTCTTGCACACACACACACACACATGCACACACCTGTGCACATACACTACTGAATAATTGCTAGACAGGAAAATCAAAAGATTTGGATCAACTGGAGATTATAATATAAATTATAAATAGTTTTTTTATTCTATAGTGTAAATTTATTTAAGTCAATGTCATAATAGCATATACAAAAGAGCTGCTGAATTGTTAAACAGATAATGTCAAGCTGTCAACATCCTTATGTGTTGGCATGGCAACTCTATGATGCAGCAGCTTTAAACTCCTCAACTGCATTGTGTCTTCAAAAGCCCCCCAATCGCTATAGAAGGCCACTATTAGGACTGCTAGCTGATTCAAATGATGTAATAGTGTAAACTAGCCATAGAGTGCATATCTACAATGCCAAATCATGCAGAGATTGAGTGATGACTAACCTCCAAGGACTTTAAGTGGTATATTATTGATGCTATTGTAAATAAACAGATGTTAATTTGCAGCTGGTATGCAGTGAAATGCAGTTCCTGACAAGGGTGCAAGGCGTCTGAAGAAATCGTACACCCAATTACCGCCATCTTCAGGCACGATGAGAAGCAGCCTTTTGAATCGTTAAAAGATACACTGATTCGTGACCAAAAGTATTTATAGCGCAAAGCCATCTTCAGTCAGACACACGTCTTATAAAGTGAGGATAACAAAGAGACAGAAGGCAGCGTTTTAATTCGAATCCAATTGGGCGACGGGGATGAATGACATTTGTAACATCAGACTGCTATGACATTATGTGTCATCCGGAGTTTGCGGTAAACGACCAATATGGGGAGAGCACGAGCGAGTGCTTTTGGAGTGCCCGGGTGAGGCAGTGCCTTATGATGTCAGGTTACAAATAAAATGCTCCATCAACGACAGGCGACAGCAGCGAGATAGACGAAGATAAGGTGTTAACAACGTCTTGTCATTTTGGGGGAGAAAAAAAGAGAAAGCAGTTGACTTCTGCGCAATGAAAAACATGCGTATCGACGAGGCTGCACATATATCAACCATAACAGAACCAGCGTTTCCCCTTGGACGCACAATGTGTGCAGCGCTGCGGGGCAGAGTGCGCGCCATACACATGTTCACATTTACAAGCGCACGCGCGCACACACACACACACACACACACACACACCCACGCTGTATACAAGTGTTTTAAACAAGTCAGAGACCAACAGCAGCAGCTTAGTCTGCAGGTTTACCTCGGTGTCATAGATTTTGGTGATGAGTGAGAACGAGTAATTCCTGGACTCTCGTATGTGCTGGATGGCCAGTTGGACCGCCGGCTCGATCCCCTGGCTGATGCTGCTCATCAGGGCCGACTCGTTCATGGGCATAAGAACCATAATGGGCAAGTTTTCCCCGTCCCTGGCGAACCAGCTGTTGTCCTGTCCGTGTTTGGTGCGGTCGTTACACACCTTGGCCAGGGCAGGGTGAAATAGCAAAACGGAGAGGAGCAGGCATCCCGTCGGGAGGAGCATCTCCCAGCCGCTGCAGTCCCTCCGGGCTGGAGCCATGCTACCGTGCAAGGGTGACCAAATGCGATCCCACCGTAGCCCTCACTGTTTGGGCATCGCAAATTCGAGCTCGTCCGGGATGCTTAGACGCCCGCCCGTCAAGTAAATCGTATTTCAAAACAGAGCAGACGCGAAAGCCGCAGCAGCCCCCGCAGTGGGCAAACTCGTCGTATAGATTATGACTGCAAACTGAGAAAAAATATTTCTACTCTGTAACAGTGCCTCTGTGAGAATATTCCAAGGGCGCAGAGATTCGCGTTATTGCCTTTCGGTGTCCGTCATCCAAATGATCTCCAGTCAAAACAGCCCTATATATCACCCCCCCCA